CAAGCAACACAGAACTTGCCTGTAAGGCACATGACCCTTTTTCTTTCTTAGAGTTGCAATAACATCTCCTAAAGCAGAAAGAGACAGATTTATGGCCCGTCCCTCATCGAGTGTTTGTCCGGTTGCTCCTGTTTTCAGTAATCTTTCGCTTCCTCCGAGATCAACCATCCAGAGTTTGCTAGCTCGTGGTCTAGAATCCGGAGTATTCCCATTTCGAGAAATGGTGATCCTCGTTAAACTAGATATATGAAACTAAACAGATAATGTAACTATCTTTGCCAAATAAACTTGTCAAGAACAAATAAAACTCAGATCGAAAACCCACCAGTGTGACCTGCTAGATGCCTCATTTACATTAGTCCATGAGGTGGACCGCGTCTTTCTTCCCTTGTTGTAGCACCATTTCGCTTTTGCAAGATCCGGGATTTCAATTTCTGTCAGACCCTCGATTTCTACACATCCCTTTGAATCTGTTTGAATGCTCAGATTGCTGTAGGTTGAGTCAGCCAAAAGGACAATACACAATTAGCAATGCTTTATAAAGCTATATGTCAGAAAAACATTGGATTTATAATGATTCTTGGATAATTACCATTTTGATACAACTTCATATGCTCTAAGTGCTGATCTTGGAGCAAGTAGATCTTTCAAATTCCCCTTATAAACCTCCAAAATACTCATTGAAAATGTTAAAGAACATGACTTATCCAAAGATTGTTGACGAAATAGCTCTTCAAGAACTCGAGGAACAATACCCGGCTGCTCATTTGTGCCATCCTGTATCATCATCCCATCCATCATTTATCGAAGACAAGTAATGAAATTTATAACAATCATTGCAAGAATATCACTGATGAAAATTTCAATAGCTAACCATTGTAAAGGTCTTGCCAGTGCCAGTTTGCCCATATGCCAAAATACATGCATTGTGGCCATCAAGTGCAGATCTAATAATTGGCTCAACCTCGACGAAAACATCTTCTGCAGAGTTTTCCAGCAAGATAATGAATAAGTTCTTTTAGCACCTCATCAAATTAGGAAGTGCAGATAAAATTTGCTACTTACCTTGATTTACAGCTTGGTGAAACACCTTATCAAATTCAAAAACCTTCTTGTTTCCCGCAGTCTTAACCACGATATTCTCTGATCCAATGGAGATAGGTTCAAGAATCTTTTTTTTTTCTGTCAAGATGAAGGGTCTAACTCTACAAAACACTCGAATACCGCCTGAAAATCAAAACCAAGCTCCTTCACACAATCATAAATTAAAGAGCAACTATTACATGTTTCGGCACCTCGGACAAGGTGGAAGGAAGATCACATAATTATATGATTCCTTTCGAATTGTTTATATAACATTGTGGAACAAAAGTTAAATTTACAAATGAGGTTTATGAGATTTTCAAACCCGAAATTGCTATTTGAGCAACTTAAAATTTTTCAACAAAGACAAAGAAAACTCTTATTATAAACCATAATACTCAAACTACCTTTGATGTCTATTATCTTATTCAAGGCTTTCTTTCTATTCTCATCAAATGACCTCAGCTTTAGCTTTAACTGCAAGATTTCTCCTACAAAAACAATATAAAATCAGATCAAAAACCCATTATACAGTTATCTCCAATGCTTAAACCAAACCAAAAATATCATATTCTTGAAGCTGATAGCCAAAATCTCACCTTGAAGATTGGATATTGACTGCTCCAGCTGGCTTTTTTCATGCTCTGGCACCACACTCACATCTGTGTAAATGGTTAGGGCTGGTTGTGAGTCCATCACCTCAGAAAATGATGGAAACCCATCAAGAAAAACAGGGTTTGATCCCATTTAAAGATGAACTTATATACCCTTTTACATTATCTTAACAGAGAAACTGAAAATTGAAATCTCCCTTCTATAGAAATTGAAATTTTCCCAGGTGAGGGAAGTGAACCTAATAAACCCTTTTAAGAAAAAATGCAAGGTTGGTACAAAAAAGCACTTTTTAACCTCTAAACCCAAAATAAAAAAATAAAAAAATAAAAAGAAGAAGCAGATTGCTTAGTTTACAGTTGTATAATAGAAGCCATTAAATGCTAAAAAGGACTACAGTTAAAGCTTCAGCAAATGAAATTAATAGCTCAGATTCTTAATAAGAACACCAGTCAGTGAAGGCCAGTAGCAATTTCAGATCTGCTTTCACTAAAAAACTGCAGCCACGGAGTAAACAAACAGTAAAATCTGGAGCTTTTTGAGCTTCAACCAACAGATAAAAGTGAAAACCTCAAGATGAAATGAAGAACGAGCAAAGACACTTCACTGAAAACCATCACAAAATAGGAAAGGTTAAACATTTAGGAAGAACAAGTAGCAGTAGACAAGATCAAGCAAGCTGAAAGAAAATCAAAGCAGAAAACTTTGGTTTGAATCAAGGAAAAAAAAAAACCCAGAAAAGAAAAGGAATATTAGCCTTGAAGTCAACAGATTGAGTAGCAGAAATTCAAAGATCAGGGAGATTTTTGGCAAAACCCAGAAAGAAAAATCATTCGGGTAGGTGTGAAATTTTCAATGATTGAGTACTCTTTACACCCTGATTATGAGATGAAGCTTTTTTTTTTCTTGGTACAGTTGAATGTCACTGTTATATAATACTGTAAGAATCTTTGGATGGTTAGGTGTGGTTCAGATCTCAAAACGAACTGTTTAAAGTTTGAGTTTTTTTTTTTTTTTTTCTGTTTCCTTTTTCTTTTACAGAGAAGGAGCGTGAGGAGCGGACTCAACGGAGGGGCAAAAGTGGAATCAAAATGGAGATTTTTTTATAAAAAAAATTTCTTAAAAATAGTATTATTAAATTTGTGATAGTGGAAAAATTAAATAATTTATATATATATATATATATATATTTTTTCATTTTTTAAAATATAAATTCACATATTTTGTTGACTAACAAATAAATACATACTAATTATAATATAATTTTTATCAAACACATATAAAAAAAATACACATTTCGATTTAGACGTATAATTTTCTTATAAATAAAAAAAAATCAATTACCCAATTACGAAATAATTAATTATATATATTATTGTTAGTTAAAAAGTTTACATTATATAAAAATAAAAATTTAATTATTTAATCCAATTAGAAAATTAAAATAATTATTTGCACGAAAATAGTGTCCTCATGCTCAAGTAATTTTATAATGTATTTTATTAGTGATTATCTAAATAATTAATTATCCAAAATTACTTAATCCTAATTGGACAATTTAGGTTTGACCAAATTGAAAAATAATAGAGATCAATACAAATTAATTGAAATACAAAATATGGATTAATTTTGTAATAAAAACTCAAGAACCCTCCTACCAAATTAAGAATACCAATAATTGATAATTAAATTACGATAAAACTAACTTTAAAAATTTAGAATAAACATGACGAAAGTATATAAAAAAATTTGTAAAGATCCAAAATCTTAAAGGAAATGAATTTATAATTTAAATGCAGAAGCGATTGATAAAGTTATTATTTACATTCTTTACATGATAATTTAGAATGTCTAATAGAGTTATGAAAATATCCCTTCTAAAATACAAATGGTAATTAAAAACGTAAAAAAAAAAAACGAATAAATAAATATTCTATGACAACCTTCACTATCACTTGAAAGGAGTCCAGGTGGTAAACTACTTACAACTCTCTTACTGATCGAAATCTGGATATTGGTCTTTTTGATCTGAAATTGTTAATTAAAATGTGAGTTACATTAGTGCAGTAAGAATATTACACTAAACACATATACGAAAATTTGAATATTAGTAAAAATTATAGAATAACTAATGAAACTCTTAATTTGAGTAAATTTATTTAATATAAAAAAAAACTGTTAAATTACGTACTTATGCAACGGGTTTTCTCAAAAATAATTTATAAATACTCATACTCATATCAATTTTTATTTTCACGTATATAACGACCCCAGAAACTCCAAATGAGATAAATTATAAATTTAGTACGGAAGAAAAATAAATAGTCAGGATTCACATTCCTTACACAAAAAAGTTCATATTACCAAATAAGGTTACCTTTTAAAAGAAATAACGAAAAATTAAATAAATAAACGAAAAATAAACAACTAAGCATTCTACTCGCAACCCTCTTGTGGATCGGGTTCTGGATCCTGATCCTCTTAATCTGAAATAATTAATAAAATAATGAATTACACTATGTAACGATCTCGGAAATTTAAAATGAAATATGTGTATTAAAAATGTCAAATGCGGAAGCGAAGTCAAAATTTCGATTAACATCCCTTACACTAAAACAAAAAACGTGCTCAAAATATAAAAGATCAAACTAACTAAAAGAGAAACTCGAAAGTAAAAGCTATGAATATGACTATGGAGTCTTTAGGCGTCCCCTTCGTCGTCTTCCTGCGGAACAGGCTCGGGAACAATGTCTTCCTGATCTGAAATGATTAAATAAGGAATGAGCTACACTAGCCCAGTAAAGACATCACGATATCTCACCGTCACAGAGGTAAAGGTGGGTAGAAAACACAAAAAGACCAATGGAGCATAATTTACAACAAATCATTTTATCAATAATAAAACTTTTACCATCCACTTACCTCGGTGAAATTCATAAAACAATATACGAAAGCAATAACATTATCATCATCATGAAATCATATAAACTATATAACATAATACTTATCACGTCTTTTGTAATTCAATCATTACACAACACGTTTTTCCTTTTTTACCAGCCTACTAGTATCCGTGGGGATCCATAGGGGTCCCGCTACCCTTGAACCTTTAACATTTACAACCTGATTCCAGGGCCGTCCCCATACCCCGTCCGGTATGGGCGCCAAAACACATAAGG